ATTGTAATAAAGTTTATTTTATAAAAATTGTGGTTTTACTTATTGAGTTTCTAGATAATTTTCTTTATCGATCGTTGAGGCAGAATCGTATCAACTCGACGTCCGTCGTTCCACAACTAAGCGTTGTTTAAGGCAGTTTTTGCCGCGCACCACTTCTATGTGGAACCAGGTGGCCACTGAAGTATTTCCGAACCAATTCTACTTAGGGTCCTTTAAACGAGCTGGAGCCTAACCTGATGTTGTGTCGACTATGGAAATTCTCAATGCCAGAGGGCTCGCGAGTGAGTACGCTCTTCATAAAGGACCCTTAGTCGAATTGGAATTTGAAATAATAGACATTCTGACCATGAATTCTGACTTATATTCATGGCAATAAAAGTTATCAACTATTCATGTGTATAAGAAACAATACTTCTTATCGTAGTAAGATAAAATATATCAATCATCTGAAAAGGCACAGAACTAATCTGAAAACCTTGAAAAGACAATATAAATCTTGAATTCGTGTTGTCATTAAATATATTGCTAAAACTAAATAAATAATAAATAACATTTTGTTACTGGCAATATTGTTTTCTGTGGATTTCGATTTGAACAGTTGTGTACTAGCTACCCTTAACCCAAAAACAGTTTAAGGGAATTCGGACCTTAGTTTAGTGACCTTAAGCTTCAATCTTTATTTATTTATTTCTCACAAAAACTTAGGACTATACAAGTGACAGTAATATACTATTATAAATAAATAACTGTCTTACTTCTGTTTAGGGAAAAAGCTAGTTTGTGTGAGACTGATGCATGCTAAAGGTAAGAGTACCTGTGTTACAGGTCATCAGGCCTCCACCACTTCGGATCGACAGAAGGTCTTATACAATACAATATATAGTAGAGAAGTCTAGTGAGAATAAACAACCATTATTGCAATACTTATAGGAATACACATACATATAAGGAAACCACAAGGGGTATGTGTGTATGCGTAAATTATGTGTATGTGTGTGGGTGTGTGTCTGTGTATGTTTTATTACTTAAGTGTTAATCTAATAAAGCTAAAACTATTATACTAAAAATTTTTTCCCTATTATTAACATAGATAAGCATCAACTTTATACTCAACTATTTAATTATGGTAAGCATGGTTTCCTCATAGTTGAGGTCCAGTAGCCACAGTGCATCCGTCTTCTTTCACTCATGTTTTGTTAGAGGATATATGGAAATGGAATTATATTATATAATGATATATTAATAAATGCACACTAAGCGCTAATATATACAAATTGCTTAGTCATATCGCTTAACCATAAGTTTAATATATTTATTAGGTTCAGGAGGATAGTCTAATCCTGAATCAGCCAGGTCTTTCAAGGATGCTTCGCTAATAGTTTCGAAGCCACATCTAGCCGCCAATTTCTGTGATGCTTGAACCGTAAATACCGTCGTAGTACCTTTGATCCCATTTGTTTTTGATAGTGGCTCTCTGAAAATATTTTAAATTAATCACACCAGGCGCATTGGCTAAATTGTTCCTCATAAATCAATTGCTGAAATAATATTTGTACTTGTGGAATTTTGATCTTATCATTGAGATTGGCTATTGACCTATTTTACTCGGTTATATATTTTTTTTATCTCACAGATTCGACGCCAGTATTGACCTAATATGCATGTGAATATAAAATTTTGTACAACTTTGGAAAACTTTGAGGGTCGATTTGATAACGCGCACAGATCAAAGACCACAAATCGACGAGTCGCAGAAGTCTAATCACGTATCTGTACAAAACCAATATTAATCAATAAAACAAATTAATTATATATTGGTCTTAAGTTTAAGTATATTATAATTATTACAATTAATATGTGAGAAGTACATTATATTTTTTTCAGTAAAGATAAGATAAAATTATAACTGCAGTTTTTGTCATATAATATGGCGGTCATTTCATTGATGTAATTAAATTGCAACAAGGTCAGAATGCTATGGCCAATCTTGCTATTGACATTCGTCGCTAAATATAGTTAAAGATAATAATTAATGTATTTCTAATTCAATATTAGTTACATTCGTATACAGCTATTATAACTATTAAACTACATTCCCATGCATGCATGCAGCGGGAAAGAAATCAAATTTATTAAACAAGATCTAAATATAAACAATTTTTAAAATATTATTTTCAAATTAATACATATTTATATATTTTTCTATACTTTCACAATTATACTGCTAGTTGTATATTGAATTGCCATTGCAATCAATGCTAACTTTGAAAAATTATGTAGTTTCTATAAAGCGTTGTTGACGCAGGGAGCAGAATTAATTAGTCTAAGCTAAATTTAAGAGAAAGTTACCTAGCATCCAACAATTTGGCACCAAGCCTTTGTCCTCTGTAGTCTCTCTTTACAACAAGCCCAAACGCATGTAACAGTAAATCCAGTTCCAAGTATTTATGTGGATCTTGCTTGAATTCCAAGAACACTAGGCCTTTATACACGTTCTTCCATTTCTCACCTTTGATCTGAAAAATAAAATAAAATAATTATTAACTTGCTAACGGATAATAGGTAGTTCAAATTACCGTGTTATTGTTGTACTGGGTGGCGCAAAAGTAAAGACCCTATTTGGTTCAACTATAACATTTTTTCTAAATTAGAAAACTAGATTTAGGTTTTTTTAAATGTATATTTGTGCCATTAAATTTCGTAACATTAGGATTTAAAGATGATGTCTATTAAATTGTGACCTCCAGAGTTGATGCACATTTGAGCCCTATTTATGTCATTTTGCATAACTTGCCGTAATACTTCCTGTTCCTTATTTCTTGATGAATGTTTTCTTTTAGAACTGCGAGTCTGTGGCTTGTTCACATACACCCGAGATTTCAAAAAACCCCAAAGAAAGAAGTCTGGACTCGTCAGATCGTGTGATCTTGCAGGAAATCGTCGACGAAATTCACGTTGTGTTTTTATCACTGATGAATTATTCCGTAAGAACATTGACACGATTATTCCACGTTCTTGGGGAGTAAAACGGTCCATGTTTATTTTCAGTGTATTTTACATTTGATCACTACACAATTTTCAACAACTGAATGAAAATTATCGTCTAAAAAAAATAAACAAATTTTCTTTAGTGCCAGTACTTTTGCGCCACCCAGTATAAAGCCGTAATATTGTCATACAATCATAATCAAATATTTTTATTCCTGTTCGTTACTATGTACACTTATGTACTTATTAAATGGTTACCTGAAAGAGATCGCTCGTAAGCGATAAGGCCGCCAGTTGCTCTCCTTTTTATTTAAATATGTCAATTGTACTATATGAATGTATATGCAACGAAGTGTTAATAAATAAAAATAAATAAATAAAAAGAATTGCACTCGACATATTGAAACAAAATGTTATAATAATACAATAACCAACGCTTAGCATCAGCAGAAAATTTAACCACGCACTTACATAAAGTGAGAACAAAACAAGATCACAATTCAAGCAAGTAAAGAAAGTCTTTTGGAAATTTGTACATCCCAACTCTTCATAGTAGTGTTGTTATAGGGATGAATTGAACTGAACTTGAACTAGCGAAAATGTGCTATTTTATCTTGTTGATTTACTTTTAAAAACTCAAACTGAAGTTTGAACAATATAGGGTAATAAGATAAAAAGTTAACAGCTTACGTTACAGAGACGAAGTTAAAGATTCCTTTTATCTTTGGCTTTATATAGATTCAAAGTCGACATCAATCCAGGTGCCGCTTTCCTAGCTGAGTTAGTCGCATATTTTATTGAATATACTATATACCTAGGTTCAACATGTCATAGACATGTGTCTGGCCATTATACGTATTGATAAAAAATCACAATCCGAAAATATTAACAATAAAAAAATATGTACGTCAATATTTTTATAATACCTACTAACCTCAATATCGGGAAAAGTATCACCAGAAGACATGACGGCGCACACGTTTAAAGCTACCAGGGTCTTCTTACCATCTACCCAGGTGTAGAGCGCAGGACACATCCTCTGCGCAATACAGAGCGCCCAAAACTTCCTTATACCCTCAACACTTTCTGCATCTTCCGTAATCTCTGTGTTCAATCAACGAAAATGTATTAATAATTAACTAATTTTATCAATAAAATAAATCGAAAACAATATTCTTGTACAAAACTGTGAATCAACAGTATCCAAATAAGAAAGTAAACTTTGTATTAATTACGCTGTTTACTGTGTTAAAAAGTTCACACGCCCCCTCTCAAAGCCAATGGAGGGCCGACACATTTCTATGTCATAATAAGTCATTCTTAAGGCAAGTATACATATACAATTATTGTTTTTCTGGAATTGAACCCCGAGTTCATCTCATCCTTCTGCGTAAACCACTTAGCCACTGAGTCGGTAATGAGAACTTTAAGAGGGCAAAAAGATAATATCTGACCAGATTAATTTATTTTGTCGACTCAAGTTAACTTTGATTCATTTTTTATAGAAAAATCTAGAAATTAGAAAGTAAAACTCTTCTAAACTAAGTTACATATGACTTACTGCTTAAGGAGCAAAGAATTTCATCAGTACAAAGATGTTCCACTAAAATGTCAATTGCCTCTTCGTCGTCTTTCGGGTCCAAGTCCTGGACAACCCACTCCTGGCCGTTAGCCTCCCATTTATCCCAAACTCGAGGACACGATGCATCCCAATTTCTTTTAAAAGGCATCTATAATTGAATATATAATATTTTAGATTCGTTGAAGAAGTTTTACTTAAATGTGTAGTAACCGGATAATCCAAAGCAAATGCACCTGCTTAAGCTCTATAGAGGGTTTCTTCAAGAAAATAAAATATAAAAATCGTTTATCGCGGAGATTGTACATATCTAGTATGATCTTGATTTCGATAAACTATTTTTGACTTGAAGACTTCTTTGTTATTATCTAATTGGCTTAACGCCGTGATTCTCAATTAAAGTAAGTATTGTGTGAACTAAATATTTACTTTA